AACATGAAGCAAACATTGCTGGACGGAATAAAAATGTTGGCATCAATCCTAAAAGTTTACCTTGCAATGTGTAATGTCATAATTAAATGGAGAAAAGGAGGCCAAGCTATTCTTTATGGCCAGTGAGTAACACAAGGATCTGAAAAGAGGCTGAATTTCTATGTAAGAAGGCTATCTACATCCAATTAAATCCAGAAGTGCTAGCCACCCATGAACACAATGGAAGCATTTAAAAGAATTTTGGGGTGTTTAGATGCTCTTTTCAATCACATGTAATTCCTTTATTTTTCTTTATTTTTTTCAAATAACTGAAAATATTGTTTTATTTATCATCAGTACTCACATGGCACAAACATAAAGAACCTGAGAAAGGCCAGGCCTGTACATTGGCTGAGGTCTAAAGGAGAATCAGAGTTCACAGACCACAGGCTGTGTACTCGATCAATAAAAGAAACAGCATCAAATAATTTTATGATGAAACTGTACCCACTGAAGATGTGGCACTGGGCTGATTTCTAAGCCAATGAATGAGGACATTGCAAGCTTTGAAAATTAATTTCTTTTCCTCATTTTTTTTCCCCTCCCCTTCTCCAGCGCATTCATATTTCTTTAAATAATTATTTTGATTTACACTTTTGTTTTCCCCCTGACTTTAAAAGCCTGAAATGCATCTTGTGTTAGAGATGCCAGGCAAAGCAATTATCTTGGTATTATATTTAAGCATCACAAAAAGCCTGTTTGGGGAGGGAGGAGGATTGACAACAGTGCTTTTATTAAATTACAAGCTGCTCCCTGCAGAAAGATTGGGAGGCTGGAAGCATGGAGCATTTCCGAGTGAGATTGCCCATTATATACAGACATCATTAGTCTGGAGTGGCTATACATGCACATCTGGATATAAGCAGATAATTCAGGCCTTTTGGGCTCTTCTGACAGGGAAATATTGTCAGGTAAATATTGCATGATCAACCCAAAGCTGCAACAGCAACCTGAGAGAGCCCAGGTGTGTCAGCACAAATACTTCCCCCCAAGGCCACACCAGAAGCCCCCACATACACCATCTATCAACAGCCTTGGGAAAAAAAGAACAGGAAAAGCATCCACGTCGTGCTAAAACATCTCCCTGGTGCCCAGGAGTAGGTGGGTTGCTGAATTTCTGTGCCAGACACTGGATCTGCCTGGGGAACCTTCATTGCATAAATTTCTCAGTTCTTTTCTAAATACTTTACACTTTTGGCCACTGCAACTGCGTGTGCCCATAAATTCTACAGTTTTATTATGTGCTCTGTGGGAAAAAAGAATCTCTGTTTTCTGTGTGTGTCTGCTCTTTATACAGGATACTGGCATAGCTGCAGAGAACAGAACAGCAGAGATGAAATCACAGGTGAGCAGGTGACAGGGAATACCACCAGCATCCCCATCTCCTACAGCATCAACTCTTACAAAAACCAGCTCTCAGCCCTGAATAAGAGTCCTGTGAAGGCTTTCATTGCTGACATCTGTAGGGGAGATAGGCTCACTCTGCCAGGGACACGATTTGAACTGCACCACCACAGCCACCAGGTTCCCAACCCACTGGGCAAGCACCTCCTGCTGCTCCTTCCTCAGCAGCTGCACCTTGTCCTTGTACAGCAGGGCTGAGAGAGCAAGGACTAAACCAAACCACAGGAGAATGGCAAAACTACCAAAGGAGGGGAAGAAGGAGGAGAGAGGAATGTCATCCATGCCAACAAATCAGTGAAGCATATGGAAGCTGCATCTAAGGCATAAAGGGTGTGTGAGGAGTTGATATAACCAGATGGCTAAAGAGCAAGGAGAGAGCAATTCCAGAAGTTGTGAGGGAAACAGGGAACAGAGGAAGAAATTAAGGACTGTGAACCTCATCTTGAAAAGGGTACAGAGAATTTAACAGGATAACTATAGCCGTAGTGATTGATGAAAAATCAATCACGAAGATGAAAATTTTTTAAAATGTGAAAGAACACATCAGCAGATATTAGAACTGAGCCAGGAATTTGCCTTTCTCACCTGCAGAGGTGAGAGGTCTCCCACAGCTGTGGCAGAAGGGTCTAGGAAGGCAGAAACAGAGCCTGGCCAGGACAGAAGGACAGATCCGGAGTGAGGTACGTGTTTAAGCCCTTCAGAGCTGGGTTCAGGGCCTGGCTTCCTCAGACACCAGATTAGGTATATTTCTTTTGTGTGCACTCATCTCCCATTAATAAAATTCAGATAGAAATATTTCTATCCATTCTCTCCATATCCATTCTCTGTCTCTGACAGATATTTGTATGAGCAATGAGGACCTGATCAGTCTGCAGACACAACTGCAGGTCCCAATAAAACAACTATTAGAGTACCCAGTCTTAGAATAGAAAACCTAAAATTAAAGTACATGTATTTCTTGATAAATAAATGCAGCACTTAAATCACTTAATTCCACACAGCATTTACTCATTGCTTTGGATTTATTCACCTTCTTGTCAGAAAAATAACCTTTAACAACACCGCGCAAGGGCTTCACAAGGTGGGAAGGAAATGCTAATTGGTTTTATCCTTTTGTGAAACAATCCATCCAAAGTTAATTAGAATAGGTTTGCTTTTTCTTCGCAGCAATAATCCATAAGAAAGACGGACGGGCAGAGCAAGCTGCGTCCTGCACAGAGGTGGTGGGATTGAAGTGATTCCGAGCTGTGCTCCCACAACTCCGTAGCCTTCAGGCATCTCTCTGGCCTTTCTCTGAGGATGGCATAATTAGGGCTGGAGAGAAAACCCCGGTGCTGAAGCCTGATAAGAAGTTAATCTTGTGGGCACCATGTGGCCCAGAGAGATGTGCCCCAAAAGCCCAATTAGCAAAGGTTTCCTGTCCTAGGCTGTGCTATAGCCTCGCTCAGCGCTGATAAAGAGCAGCAGCTCAGGGCTTCACCAGCCCCTCACACATCACAGGCCTGAGGAGCACCTGTGTTTTGTCCCCTTCTCACTTCTCCTGGTGCCCTTCACACTCTCAGTGTGTCATTTAAATCCCACAGGTTCACACATCTCTCTGGAGACAGGATTCACCTCAGAGCCTTCAGCCACGCTGGCTGCAGACACAAGCCAAGGCTTTCCTCACTGCCTGGGGAGCCCCACGGAGGGTTCCTGGCCACAGAACCTGACCCCAGGTTTCTTGGACCCAAGAATGGAGGCCAAGCAAACAGAATTTGTGTGAAATCTCTGCCATCCCAACTGCAGAACCCAAAATCATTACAGCAAGCCTAGTCCCCTAGAGCCACGCATGAGCAGAGCAAGAAAATGATAAGGTTTGGTTTCCCATCATCTGTAAGGAAAAGAGGAAAATGTTCTTGGCTGTTGCAAAAGCACTGCAGATCTGGAAAAGAGAGTGCTCAGCACCTGTGCTTTACAAGCCAGAGGTCCTCTCTTTTATGGAAGGAAAGCTCTTCCATAACAGCCAAAGGAATGCTGAGACACAGCATCCATGGACCCTACAAATTCGCCTTTCCATCTAGGGACATTAAACAGCAAATCCCAGTTTCAGAAAGGATGCATGTGATGGAAAGTGCTGCTGAGAAATTTAACTGGTTTCTCAAGACCAAGAGACTCTAGCATGACTATGATGGAAGGAGTTAATAGACACTGAAATTGTTTTATTAAGGAGATTTGCCAGAATTTACTGATTATTAAACCTCATTAGCCAGGGACTTGTACTCCATGTTCTTACCCCGTTGCTGCCTGCTGCCTGCTGGATACACGGAGGGATGCTGGAGAGATTATTCCTAAGCCCTTCCCCCTTCCCTCTCCCCTCCTCTTCCAGGACCACACTGACAGTCCCGGGTGAAGGAGAGGAGGGACAGGGAGAGGGCAGGATCCACCAGCTCTCCCTCAGCATCTCCCAGCAGAGGAGCTGCCCCTCGGGACACCTCAGCACAACATATGTTACATCAACACACACGCCTGCTTTCCCCTTTCAGGAAAGAAGCGGAGGAGGGAAGAGACGGCCAGCTCCAGAGTGCTGCAGGGATTTTCCATGTGATCCATCCCGGACCATATTCCCAGGAGCTGCTGCCGGACCCTGCCCAGTGTGCGGCATGTGAGCATCACCTGCGGGGCAGCCGCTCCGCCCTGCCGGTAAGCGACTTCGGGAAACTTTCCTTGCAGTGCTCGCACTTCGCTAACTTGGGGGGAAAAAGGTGCTTTTTAATCTCTAGGGACTACGGGCAGAAGCGGGGTTTGTCCCTGAAAGGAGGCGGGGAGTGTTTCAATCGCTGCCCCGCTCAGAGCTGGGAAAACACTTTCTGCCTGCTTCACAAAAGTTCCCCTCCAGCTTCTCAGTAATTTGCAGTGGCACGAGGTCGGGTTGATCAGAATAGTCATCATTCAGACAGAACTTCCCCACTTAAGGCATTGTGTAAAGCTCTCCCAGCTAATCCTCGCAATCCCCCCGAGAGGCAGAACGGGCGTGCAGCGAGAGGCAGAGGGAGCGCGGTCTGAGCATCCAGTTAAAGCAATCAGGAACTTCGCTGATTGATGGCAGGTAATTGACCACTCTGTCTCTAATAACTATTAAGCAGCTTAGTCCAGTTAGCGCGTGGTTAGGGGTTTATAGAAACACGAAAGCGAAGCGACAGCGACCGGGAAATAACCGGGATGTAAGGGTGCCCAGAGCTGCTGGGAGAAGAGCCCGAGGTGTTCCCGGCTGGATTGGCAGAGCCTCGGTGATAATTATGAATGAGGCTGTAGCTCTGCTCCGTGCCTGTGTTGCCAGACAACCAATGAGGCTGCAAAGCAAAGCTCATTCACGGGCTGCAGGTTCCAGGAAGAAGCACAGAGGTGACTTCTACTTACAAAACAGGCGCTCACTAATTTCGTGACCGAGGAAAGTGCCTGGAAACACCTTTTCCCTCGCAGTAACCTCTGCTATGTTTTCTCCTCCTCCCTGTATCTGCTGGCTGACAGATCCCCCCGCTCTGATGCCGTTCTGGATGTCCCGGTGAGAACTCTCAGAGATGCCTATTCTCTCCAGAGGCAGTGACCAAGACTATAGCAACATCAGCTACAACTCCTGCAATTCCTTGAGCCACTTCTTTCCCATCTGTGTGGAAACCCCTTCTGTCAAGGGGGTCCATTACCAGAGAGCCAGGAGGATTTACCACCCGGACCAAGCATCTGCAGCCGATCTAAAGACAGAGATCATGATCAACGTAGGAGGCATCAAGTACCTACTGCCTTGGAGTACTTTAGATGAGTTTCCCCTGACCAGACTGAGCAAACTAAAGCTTTGCAGCAGCTACGAAGAAATCATCCAGCTGTGCGACGATTACGATGAAGACACCCACGAGTTCTTCTTTGACAGGAACCCCAACGCGTTTGGGATGATTGTCAGCTTCCTAGCAGCAGGGAAGCTGATGCTCTTGAGAGACATGTGTGCCTTGTCTTTCCAGGAGGAGCTGAGGTACTGGGGCATTGAGGAATCCAACCTGGAGAACTGCTGCTTTCGGAAACTGTTCCAGAAACTGCAGGAGCTGGCCGAGATCCGCAAGGAAGAGGAGCTCCGGAGGAGCAAGGAAGCTTCGTGCGTCTTGGATGAGAAAACCAGATTTGGGCAGTTCATGAACAGACTCCGAGATATGGTGGAAAATCCCCAGTCAGGACTGCCAGGCAAAGTCTTTGCTTGTCTCTCCATCCTCTTTGTGGCCACCACAGCTGTCAGCCTTTGTGTGAGCACAATGCCAGACTTAAGAGCTGAAGAGGACAGGGTAAGTCAGTCCTTCTTAACTGGTCTAACCACAGAGTTAATGGCACAGTCTGTGACAGAAAACACAGCAATGGCTCAAATTGGTTCTCTCATTGGATAGATTAAGAATAATGGGAACAAATATTATACTGATTTTTAGCTAAAATACAAGAAAGCTTTTGGGCAGAGCAGATATTTGAGGTCTCCAGTATAGAGCTGTTTTTCCTTCTTGAGAAGCAGCTGCCAGTGTAAGATTAACTTGTTAGCACTGAGACTCTCAAACTGACATTGTGGAGTTTTCAAGATGCTTCACTCTCTAGTTACAGGCAATCTCTCCTTTGGACACATCAGCTGCAGCAATATTTTTCCTCTGATATCTTTACTTTTAAAACAGCTGGGTATCTTCCCTTGAGATAAAACTTTCAGATGCTTAAAGAGGGAGAAATATTCATTAATTTTTATATGTTACATTTCAGTAGTTGCATAAAGATTGAAGGATGAGAGGCAGATGAAGTATTTTTTCACATGCTGATACTTAAAAGCTGTGCCTCCAAAAATCACAATTCCATGCTAAGAGAATTCTGTATTTTCCCCATATATATGTACATATTGTAGGAGCAATACCAAGCACTAGCTGAACTGCTCACTGCATTTAAACCCTTCTCAAAGAACTCATCCACATTAATTCAGGACAAATAAATCAAGCCTGTATCACACATGAAGGATCTGCTCTATAACACTGCTGTAAATATTTCAGCATTTAAAAGATTTATTTTTGTAATAATAGACCAGAGGAAAAGTAAGAATCCAAAGTTATTTCAGATGTGGTAATGTCCAAATTCATCAAATAACCTTCACTAATCTGGGTAATGAATCCTGCACTTCATTTGCAAATTGCCCTTCCAAAAGTGCTGAGGAAATCTGTGTCAAATAAACCCCCAGCCCCAACCCCTGCTGTAAGACAAGACACTCCTCAGAGTGTCATATATTGATGAATAAAGTAATTTTTTACATTTATAGCACAGCCTGGTGTGCACAAGACAAAAATCTGTATCTATTTTACTGGTCAAGCCATTGGTCAAAGCAGCCTTGTCACGGTTAAAAAATGTCCTGATATTTGATGTCTTGGAATAAAACTGAGGACTGCATAGGAGGCTGAAATCTAAGATCATTCCCTTTTCCATTTTAACCCCTTGACTATTAACTTCCATTTGCTCAGGAAGGCTCCAATCTGTCAGGAATAAGCCTGGTGCTCTTGCAGTCTTCCTCAGCTATTACTTTTTGGCTGAAAAAAAGGGAAAATTGTGCTCACAGGAAAAGCTGTTAACACTGTTCCAATGCTTCTTCCAAGGAAGTACTTTAAATATAGAACATCCTTCTTCCAGCTCGATGTACAAACATTACAAACTGCTCCAGCAAGTGCTTCCTACTAACTTTGTTAATGGAAGTGGCTCGATGCTTTTTCATCTTCTTTTCCTAACCACTGCAGGAAAAGCTTTGGTAAATAAGTCCCATGCAGAAGAGCCAGCACATGAGCAGAACTCTGCTGGATGTAAGGGGTTGTGTGTTTTAAAAATAATTTATTAAGTTAGGAAGAAAAGCATGCTGAGGGTTGTGAGTGTGTCTGGGAGCTGCAGTGAAGCTGCTGTTCCTGTATTTCCTATAAAACAAGGATGACATTACTACTTAGAGATTTGCATATATACCACTGCTTTAAAAACAAGCAAACTGCATCGAAACAAGCTCAAGAGATGGATTGTTGAAAGTGCAGGGGAGAGGGTGAAGGATGAACTCGAGGAAAGGACCACATTTGTTTGGAAATTGTACTTGGGAACATTGTATTTGGAAGCATTCCATAATTTACACTTAGAGCATCAGCCTAATGCACTTTTTCATTGTGCCCCAGAATACAGAGTATTAAAAGTCCTGTTCTTTGAATTATGTGATGTTCTGCCACAGGAAACACAGGGAAATATATGAGACAAAATACTCATGCCTTGTGGAAAAGCAGAGAATCTCAACTACTAACAAGCAGTTTTGGCATCCCTAAATTTTTAGCCTGCAACAACTAAGATTTCCTTACTGGGACCTCAAAAGAGCATTTTAACTAGAGCTGGAAAAATAATTCCATGAAGTTAATTGACTAAAATTAGGACTTCTTGGCTGCAGCTGAGTCATACTTTGCAAATTGCAACTCTCCGTTGATTTGTTACTCGGAACTGTTCACTGGCCTCAGACAGTGATTCCAAGGTGGGGCCACATTTACCAACAACCTGAAACAGGCATGTAGGACCTGAATTTTTTGGTTTTTGGGCTGAGCACAAAGATAATTCAATATCTGTTTGCTCAGTGACAGAAAACAGTCAAATTCCTTCACAAAGTTTCTCAACAACCTGAAATTCCGCACCTAAATTTAATAATGCTCTATTGTGAGGCTTATTCAATCCTGAGTTAAAGCTTGGCAAAAGCTCTGAGGTAAATATCCTTTAAAGTACTGCAAGGATCCATTTTCCAATGTCACTAATGCTGGAAATTGAATTTATCCATATCACCCCTTCTGAAAAACAGACAAAAAAGACTTTACCTCTGCTGTATATGTACCACTCTGGGGTCCTGCTCCTCCTCATCACAGCCACATTAAGAGAGTGCAAACTGGCTGGACTCCAGCTCAAGAAGGATCATAGTCAAAAAAAGAAAGGGAAAAAAAAAAAGGAAAAATAGTGCAAGGTGACTTCACTGAGCTGGCTCAGAGGCTGCTGATCCCACCCTGCAGGCACAGCAGATCCCTCGTCCTTCCAGCAGCTGCTCAGGCAGCTCTGCTCAGGAGGGAGGAAAGCTGCCTGGGCAGGCAGAAGAGCAACCAGGAGTCCTCAGTGTGCGAGGGCAAGTGAAAACTCCGTTCTGTCTCCGGGAGAGGGATGGCAGGGAGCCAGGAGAGAGCATCTGCATCAGGGAAACCCAGTCACCCTGGCAACCAGGGGAGGGGAGAGCCACGGCCAGGGCCAGCAGGGGGGACCGCAGGGGGAGATTCGGGTGGGCAACGCAGCTGAGAGCGAAATAAAGGAGGGGTTGTTAGAACCAGCACCGTGCACATGCTTCAAAATGTGTTAAATGCCGTTCAGAAAGAAAAAACACCGAGATTTGGGTGAAGGTTTCTGTAAGTTTGTGTCATATATGCACACACTGTGAATCCCAACTCAAAGAGGACAGTCCCAGGTGAAGGGTGAGCAAAAAGTTCAGCAAAAATGCAGAGTAGCAGAGGAAGAGCTCTGGTGAGCTCAAGTTTGAGTCTGAACATGAAATAAATATTTAAAAGGTTTTATCATTTATAAGGCTAAGGAAAGAGGAGTGATCAACAAGGTTGTGTTATTTAGGAACAAAACAACAGAATTATCCAAATTCTCCAGGGGAAATATATCCTTGTCTGTGATATTTGATATCAGTTCTTCATGGAGCCCAAATTGTCCTTGGTAAAAAAGCTTTAATCATTTTTTGGTAAAAAAGATTTAATATCATCACTGTGCATTAATCAAAGCACGCAGAGATAGGAAAACAGGCATATTTAGAGGTGAGGAAATCTGTTATTGATCTGAGCAGGCAGCTTGGCAGGACTGCAAATCTGAACTGGAGACCAAGCACACAGGATAGGAAAGCTGAAGTGACAAAAATCACCAGTATTACCCTCAAATGAAGAAATTCAGACCATCCCACTAGAGACAGGACAGAAGTCCCATCAAAGCCCCCTGCGAGTCCCAGCCCCATGTAAGAATTACAGTCAGGATCTAAGAGGGGTCACTGAAACAGCCCCTGCTCAGCACATCCAACCCAAAGGAGAAAAACATCATTACACCAGAAAATGTGGGATAAAACCACTGCAGAAGGGCCTGGAGAGGGAGAACACTTTGAAGTGCTCTTGGGACTTTCCTTAGGACGAGATATTTCATTTAATGAGTCCCTAAAACTGGCATCCTCTGGAGAAATGACTCAGCAGAAAGGCTCCAGCAAGGTCTGTGCTTCAGAAAGGCAGAAAATTAAGGTCAGGGGGAAGAAATTTCCAGATATTTCCATCCCTGGACCTTGTTACTACTAATTTTTTTGTGTTTGCTCTTAACTGACCTTGAGAAGCTTGGAATTGCTTTAGGTATTTTATAGGACCTAATGAAACAAAATCATCATAAGCTGAAGCCACTGTTGTTTCATGTGAAGGTTTTATCCTGAAACACAGAATATTCATTTTTTTAAAGCTGCTTTTCCTGGGATCATTTGCTTATGTTAAAATCATGTTCCTTTTAAGAGAGTAGGTTTCTGGTCCCTGGTTGCACTTAGAATCCAAAAAACACGAACAGATGAGGAGAACCAAGTGCTTAACATATAGAACCATTTCTAAATTATTTTTTTTTATTATTCTACACCATTATTCTGGAGGCCCTGATTAGTTTTTCAATGCTTGATGTTGCTGAAGTTTTCTGCACAATACTAAAGAATATTTGGCTTGCACACTGCGAGAAACTGCCAAGAAACAGGTTTTATTTAAAACTGGAATAAATTTACTTTACAGGGGGAAAAAACCCAATTTATTTGCCTTACTGTGAAGAGAAAGAAAATGTAATGCTCATTTAACGTGTAAGACTATAAAGGCATATGTGTACATGCCTGTCTATAAACACACTGCTATATACATATAACTTGAAATTACTTGGAAAAAAAATGAAGCTGGATGTGCTTTGGCTTTATTGCATCTGCTCAAGCACTCTATTGCAGGTTCTTATCAGGTCACTTTCTGCAGACAATCCCTCTCTTAAATTGTCCAAGCATCCAGTGCAATTCTGATTTTTTTTCTGACCATTTTGATCAGCAAGGAAAGTAGGAAAATGTTTTTCAGTGGAGCACCAAAAACCTCCTTCTCTAGATGTACTCAGCACAGTAGAACCCAGCTAATCTGTGTGCTACATGGACTGAATTAGTTAAATTAATAATGATTGAAGAAAGGTTAAATAGGAAGCCATTAAACAACAGAAATGT